ATGCATGTGCAGGATCAGTTTCATACTTTTGCTTTCTGTTATTGTTTATCATTAAACTGAGCTTTTATTATTGGTGCTAGTTTGATTATTACTCTTTTTACTATTTAGTTTCTTTGTTTGTGCTGGAAAGCAAGATTCACGAACGATCTTGCTCACGCAAAAAAAAGTTTTTAGGCTTTATATTCATCTTAAAAAAGTTACAACACTCAGATTTAATACATGCATCAGTTTTTGGCGTTTCGTTTTGCTGCGACTTATCAGAATATCTAAATAGTCGGATCGTCATGGCCATTAAGAAGAATACAGTGAAGCTGGGCACGGACTTTCAGATTCGATCCATCCTCTGTACAGCGATCTTAGTGCATGCTGATCAAAAGACGTAGGTCGATACGTGCTATTTACTTACTTCTGATGCATTAGGAACGTTTGTTCGTCGTCTCTTCCCTCTGATCATCAGCTGTCTTGTTGTCGAAAAAGTTGAATACCTTTTTCTGTTTGATATTCCTGAAACGAGCAGGTAAGTTGATGGTCATTATCAGCTTTACCCCTTAATCAGCAGTGTACTTAATTCGTTCGTTGGTATTTTTAAACCCAACGGTGCAATTTGACCTGGCTCTAAGGTCATTGAAGTAAATGTTTCGGACTGAATTCTCTTTTTCCGGTTTTCATAAGGTACTGTCATCATTCTAGGATTATCGAAATCAGCTAGAGAAAAAAATCAGGTACATCAAACGAATTCGTGAATGTGTTAAGCGAGAAGCCATTCTGGCCGCTTCTTTGAAATGGGTGACTACTTCGTACAAGATTGCGCCGAGCCTCGGCACCTGTCATTTCTTTGAACACCGAATAACCAACTTTGAGCCTGCATCCATTACGGTGACAGTGGAAACCACCGATCCGGACTTAAAGTAAGGCGTAGTGTTGGAAAATATGTTTGCATTGTGATTTTTATCCATAATCGTCAGAGTGGTCCATAACTTCGACGAGTACCGTCATTTAAAGCAAACGTTTACGTCCGAGACCGGTTTGACAGATCCTTTACTCCACTGCATAAGGGCTTTCGACGACAACAGTGTGGCTCAATGGGCCATCGATCTGGGCCAGGGCGAGTCGTGCGTCGTGCCTTTCCGATACCAGAGCTTTCGCTCATTGAATGGCAGGTTTTCTGTCAGTGAGGCAATTCTCGTTGTACCAAGTGTTGACGTGTTTCTAACTTTTAACATATTTGAAGACCGCTCTTTTATCGAAAATGGTCCAAGATTCGTTTATGCAAGCGAAGATCGTCAAGGTGATATTTCGTAACTTGTCCACTGGTCACGTGGTTTCTATGGCTCTCCTACACGTCGAGCCGCATCTCAGCGTCATAAATCACTTGTACCGTTTTCAGCAGGTAGCCGGCTGTACGGTGTCACGAACGCTAAATATCTCCCCTAAAGATGTAAATTTGAATTATTTTTCAGGTACGATTATATACCTCATATTTATTAAAGTACCTCATATTTATTACCTCATTTTCATTAAAGTGTTGTCATCGAGTATTCTCGTTATCACCATATCTTTTTCATTCTCTTAAATTGTCCATCTTTTACTTCTCTACTAGTCTATGTTTTCCGATTCCTGCTTGTCTAGGACTTGCCCTGCAGTACTAGCCTCATATCATCATCCCATAATGGTTGTCAGTAAGTTTCTATGACCGCCTATCCTATCGGGTCGCGAAGGCAGCAGCATCAACCTGCTTCTCCAACATTCTTTATTCTCTGCCAGTGCCAACGTCTGAGCTTCGGCTGAAGATAACTCAAGTCTAGAACAGAATTCGACAGAATGTTTCATGTTCAGGCCCTCCCCGGAATCTTTGGTCTGTCGGTAGAGCAAGTAGTTGCTGTTTTCCCATTCTTTTTGAAAGCATTCACGCTTGTGCCTAGAACGACACAGCTCTGACTTCTCAGTTAGGATAAGCGTCCAATAATCTGTTTTATTTTTTCCTGCTTTTTCTTTTTCATGATCTAATTATTTACGTCAATAATTTTATTAGCTATTTCTTCGGTTGACTTTTCATGTAGTTATTTTTGGGTGACCTTGCAACCGTGCCGATTCTTCATCTATCTTACAGCAGCGTGAAGTAAATTGGAATTAAATTGATTGCCTGATATTTTTAAATTTTTATTTAATACTTGTTCCCATTGTACACTGTCGATATTCAGTTTCCTATCGGCAGTGATGTGCTGTTTTCTCTTGCTTTTCCTTCTTTTTATCTTTCATTAACTTTTTTAACTTCTAATTCCTCTTTTTCTTCTTCTTAACCATTGCCACATGGTTTATAAGTTATCGATTATATGTTTTTCCTGTTGCGCATCGTCAGACTTTTTTTAGAAGTTGAATCAGTTCTTGTATTCATAGACGCAAACTTGCAGCCACGTATCAGCAAAGTCTTTTGTACTGATTCAAATGTTTTGTGCAAACTGGAAGACTCAACGAATAATCCTGGATCACAAGTGTTGAAGTTTCAAGTATACCTTACTTTGCAAGTAGTTACGCTTGTTTATATGTTACGTATTTGTTTCAGAACTGCGCAGATCCAAGTCCTTCGGTAAAAGTGCTCAGTTTTTTGTTGTACGAAGATGCCTATATGGCATCGTTGAAGTACCTCTATCAGGTGTACGTTCATTCGACGAAGATCTTGGAGACCTCCACAACCCAGGGCTCATTTACGGAATTCTCAATCATATTGCAGTAAGTTTTGAACCTGTTCTATCGAGAGTGGCCTTTAAATTTATCAAATGGGATTTTCGATGGATTAGCGCAAAATCTAAAGATTAATAATTGGTGATGCAGCTGTTCGATATTTAATGGTGTTCGCTTACCAGTTGTTCTCCGCTTATACCAGTAGTTCTCGGATTGCTTCACATGATTCCATGTTTCTTCCAAGTCAGCCTTGCCTTTCAGCCCCGCACCTTGGATATTCTGATGTTGCTGCATTGTTTTTTCCACATCGTCTCTTCACATTGTGATTTTTTTCAACTGTGTATTTTCATTTTAAGTTTTTCATGAGTTCCTAATGGTATAATGCATAATCACCACTATATACCATTTATTGGTTCGCTTTACTTGAGTTTTTAGGTTATTGGTCACTTCCAATGCATATAAGAGAAAATAAGTAGTAATTTAGCTCCTTGATACCTGGTTTGCTGTAATACCTCTCTTTCATATGAATATTTTAATTTTAGGCGATGCGAAAGTGACAGAAAAATTCAGATGTTCACATCAGACGTCAGGGAACTAAGTGTCTTGCATGAGAATCCGATCAACTGTAGACGTAACGTAGTCACCGAAATTTGCTGCGAACTTAAACCCATGGAATCTGGTAAAAACAATCTGTCGATTTGTTTGCTTCAGTTGTCATACTTTACGTTCGTAGCACGCATTCTTAGATATAGCTAGTTCTTAATCAGGGATATTTAAATTTGTTTATTATAGTTTTAATAATTTATCACAAATTCTATTTTTTGTCTTATTCTGTCTTTTGGTTTATTCTTCTTCGTTTGTTTGGTGGAAGCAGTGATTGTTTGTTCTTCCCACTGTCCTGTGATCTTAAGAAATTCCAGCTGTTCTCTCTTCTTTCTCTGTGATATGACTTCGTTTTGTGCTTTAAAAATTGCATTTCTCGTTTAGGCCATTCAAGCAGTAAAGCTTCAATCCTAAAAATTAAGTAATTCATTTATATCTGTAACTACTGACACCGGATTTACACGGCGAAAACTAAACTTAACTAACGTAAAGTTACTTTACAGCGCCACTTTAAAACTGATTGTAGTCGTTACACCAGGCTCTACCGCAGTAATGCGCCGTCCTCTTGCTGTTAGTCACCGAAGGTCAGTTTATGCTGACTACGGTTCCATTGCATTTAAAGTGCTCTGCGACTGGAACCAATTGAACGGTGTGTTACTGTTGTACAATTTGCTACCATGCGTCCAACTGCGACATCGGTGTAACGTGCGTGTGTTACTTTAGTTTTCTCCATGTAAATCCCCTTTCAGTATGAGGAATTGCAAGGCTGCCAATGTTTTCAGCTGCCCCAGAACATCGGGAAACGACTTCCTTTTATGTTCGAAATCTTATTGCCGAAATCTTTTATGTAAAATTAACAGTACAGTACCAAACTAATAAATCGGTAAGCAGAAATAATCTGCTTTACTTTTCATATGTTATCCTTAGAGTAGCCGCTTTGAGGCAATCATAGCAGTGCCCTTTTCTGCGAGTACGATGTATACATAGTAAAATCTGCATTTAAGGAAGGCGTCAGATCTGTCTTTCGGTAAATAAGTGTAAGCTTCTTATCGGTACGTTCAATAAAGCGGAATTTTTATCTATTATTTAGCCAGTTTATTACGGATTGTGGCAGTAGTTGATTTCGGAGTATATTCCGCTTTTTTTCGTTTTACAGCATCCGATTTTGACTGATGAATTTGAAAAATTTGTGGATTTAACTTGGTGTAGTTTTTCCCTTCTTATCGCCATGTGAGTGATGTGCTATCACTAGTATCAGTTCATAATTTCTTTACTGCTTTTATAGGGTTCCGACTTTTTGGTTTTTTGGACGGTAGCACATAAACACAGATTTTACCAGTTTGATATAGTGCATAACCATTTAGGGCTTTAGTCCATATTGCTATGCAGAAGCCTATTGTGGCTTACTGACAGCGGATACATCGCTTATTTTCATTTTATTACTGGTTTCGTTAGTGAGCAGATTTCAAGTTGTTTCTATCATTTGTCTGCGTGTTTCCTTCAAGTTAGCTGAAGTTGTAATTGATCAAATCCGCAGTAGGATGCTTAGAGCTTTAGGTGAACAGGCATGTTGACTAGCATGTGTCTCTTACAGTGAAGGCACCGCTGGACTGGAGAGCTCCGGTGGTAATATCCCTGTTCAAAGGAGACCGCAAGGAGTGTTCTAATTATCGGGGCATTACTTTACTGATCCTCCCGGAAGAGAGGTACACAAAGGTTTTAAGGCAGTGCTGCAGAATAACTGACTCAAAGATACAAGAAGAGCAATGTGGCTTCCGGCCCAGCCGAAGCACAGCTGACTAAATATTCGTCCTTCGCCAAATTGTTCAGAAATCGTGGGAGTTCGCCCATCCGTTGTACATGTGGCTTGTTAACCTAGAGATATCCTAGGAAGAGATACCACGCAACAATCTATGCACATATCTGGCAACATATAGGATCAATGGCCAGTTGATACGAGCCATATAATCGCTATATGTTGATAGTAGGTGCTGCATCAAAGTAAATGGTTTTAGCTCGAGACCTTTCATCGTCGGCACTGGACTCCGCCAAGGCTACGTACAAGGATGGAACAGTCAGACGCATCCAGGGCGATAAGTGTATCACCGTAGCAGACGTCCAGAGAGAAGGTTGCTGTTTGCTGAACCTTGTCATGTAGTAATCTTCTGAAACGGACCTCCAGTCCTCTCTAGAAAGGATGAACGAGGAGTGCGACATTGCCGACATGCATATCAACGTATCTAAAACGAAATGCATAGTGTTTTCTCGTTCTCCTGCCCGTCGCTCTCTTCAAATAAACGGGGAAGCAGTGGAGCAGGTAGATAAATTCACTTACCTGCTCCACTGCTTCCCCATTTATCTGAACGTATTTGCTGATGATGGAGAATGGGATTAACAGACCGACCAAC